GTATAATAAGCTAGGTGATGGAAAACTCACGTTTTTGAGGCCTTGGAAGGGTTCACGGTTGATGAAACTAGAGAGAAATGGAGTAGTGTGCAGCCAAGAGAAGAAAGGAGTGAAGGAAAGGGGTTTACTCATATATATTGGGGTGAGTGACCCACCACCTTGAGTGTGCTGCCATAGGGTGGGGTGTACGGCCGCACACCCATGTGTACGGCCGTACACTCCTCCTAAGAGAGTGTATGGCCCGATTTTGCTACTTTATGACTTGGTAATTCATCCCTAATCTCAACCTTGGTTGTACTTGAGCTTTAAGCACTTAAATGAACCTTTAAACAGTGCTAAAAGGCCACAGAAACGAGTTTAACATTGATTGAATTGACTAGATGTACAAGATAGAAGTTCTGGGTTGTCACATCCGATTATACCGGTTTCGGTTCGTACCGGTTCTTGCCGTGTATTCAATGTTGGAATCGGTCCTCGAGAAATAGCAACATACAGTTTCGGTTTTTGTCGGTTCTACCGGTTCCGGTTCCTACCGGTTCACGGTTCTAAAAATCCACAAGAATATCGTCTCGGTCCCGGCCCAATCGGTTCTATCCGGTTCCGATACCGGTTCCCCAGTCCAAATGCTCATCCCTACCTTACCCTTACCATTTATTTATTTTTTGTTATTTATTTCTCATTTTTAAATTTTAAAAAATGATAATAACAATAATGACCCACCCACAACCCTTCTTACACTTATACCTGTTCAGATCTATTTCTCCATCCTCTCTCTGTCATGTACTTTGAGACCTCTTTCTTCTTCCTTATAAAGCTCCTCAACTAATTCTTCTGTAACATTCCCCTCCGGCACGTATCACAATATTGTCCGCTTTGGGCTCCTGGCACGAAAACTTCCCAGGGGTCACCCATCCCTGAATTGCTCTCGCCCGGACACGTTTAACTGCAGAGTTCTTATGGGATCTACTGCCCTCATGGCTTTAAAACGCGTTGTGATAGGAAGGTATCCACAACCATTATAAGGAATGCTTAGTTCTCCTTCCTAACTGATGTGGGATCATGTGCAAACCACCTTCACCCCCATTATAGGGTTCGACGTCCCCGTCGAACACATCGACCCATGCCCCGGCTCTGATACCACTTGTAACATCCCCCTCTGGCACGTATCACAATATTGGCCGCTTTGGGCTCCTGTCACGAAAACTTCCCAGGGGGGTCACCCATCCCTGAATTGCTCGCCCGGGCACGCTTAACTACAGAGTTCTTATGGGATCTGCTGCCCTCACGACTTTAAAACGCGTTGTGATAAGGAAGGTATCCACACCTCTTATAAGGAATGCTTAGTTCTCCTTCCCAGCCGCTGTGGGATCAGGTGCAACCCACCTTAGTGAGAACAATCCGGGGATGGATGGCCCCCTTGGAAGTTTTCGTGCCGGGAGCCCAAAGCGGACAATATTGTGATACATGTCAGATGGGGATGTTACAAATGATATCAGAGCTAGGGCACGGGTCGATGTGTTCAACGGGGACGTCGAACCCTATAATGGGGGGTGAAGGTGGGTTGCACCTGATCCTACATCGTCTTAGAAGGAGAACGAAACACTTTCTTATAAAGGGGTGTGTATACCTTCCTTGTTACAACCCGTTTTAAAGCCGTAAGGGCCGTAGATCCCATAAGAACTCTGCAGTTAAGCGTGCCCGGGCGAGAGCAATCCAGGGATGGGTGACCCCTGAGAATTTTAAGTGTCGGGAGCCCAAAGCGGACAATATTGTGATACGTGCTAGAGAGGGATGTTACACATTCTTTATACCTCTGACGATTCACCACCGGGCCGACTACCACACCCAATTTTGGCAACAACAAAGAACAAAACCCACAATAATTTTTGAATGTGGCCGAAGTTAGGATTTCAAGATCTACAAACGATTCCTAGAACGGTAATAGAGGAGGTTGGTGTTTTAAAATCTATAAAAAAATTTATAGAACTCAAGATCTTCAAAATGATTTTATGGGGATTTTGTTCAAACGATTTCTGAAATGAATTTCAAAATCAGTTTTGTTTATTTTCAGATTTTCTATAGCTATGGTGTCGGATTTAGCTATCTGGATTTGGATTTGTTTAGATGATTTTCAAAAACGATTTCTTGCATCTCGTCGGAGTTGTAGGTTTTAAGAATTCGTCGACGATATGTGATGAAGAAGTTTCATGGTAGTGGAAGGATGGGATGATGCCACACACACACAGATATATATATATATATATAT